ACTACACTAGGTAACTCGGGAGGGTGGAAGACCACGAGTGTCGATGAAGCCCTCCTGCTCTACTCCCGGATAAACCAAGGCCCCTTTGCTTCTTGAACCCTCTGTGATCCTGCATAACTCTGAGGAAGCTAACACACAAACAGACAGGTTTGCACACGGCTCGCCAGCCAAGGCCAGCTTTGGCCTGGGAAACAGATAGATAAGGCAGAAATGTTTAGCAAAAACTAGTAACAAATAGGACCAAATAAGGCAAGGCTCGGGCAATGCTACAGAGGAAAAATACAACTGGCTGCTTTAGCTGATTGGCTTCGGTATTGTACGGGGCAACAGGTAATTAGTTGCTTAAGCTTGTGTAGTGAAGTAGGCAAAGGTATAAAATGTATACTGGAATCTGCTGCAGGATTTGAGACAGCTCAGTCTCCCTGAGCCCTATTTGGAGCTCCAAATAAATCTCTCTGCTTCTCCACCCCGTTGTGGTCATTGCGCGACGCATACTGGGCAACGAACCCAGCTGTTTCTTGCCTCGGGCACTCTGTGCCGGCAACAACATGATCAGGCAGAAGGCGACTTCTTTCAAAATACAAAATTCTATTCCATGATGAAAAAGAATGAACTGTAGCTGTTGTGACTGGGAGTAGCAAGAGATGAATTCCTACTTCTTTCATCCCAGGAAACATAGGATAAAGATCGGGTCGAGCCACTAGTGATGATAAAAAAGAAGTTGAAGTCAAATCTTCATTAATTTGTCATATGATATTCCACTCTGTGTTCAAATTCTCTATTCTGTCCTGAGCACATGGCAGCCCCATGGCTGGTAGTGCCTCACTCCACTCAACTGTTGGTGTTTTATAAGATAGGGATCTGTAAAAGCTACATAGAGGTTGAGTAGAATCTAGAAGTCGCTGTTGTAGCTATATTTTAAGAATCAAGTCTGTGTACTTTTTCAGTTGTCTTAAACGCTCCTTGTCTGCTTCACTTAAGGATTCAATATAAATGCCCTCATTAGTCAACTTCTGGACTGAAGTCTTTGCTTCTTCCAGTACTTTTTCAATGGGTAGCTCTCTGATTGATCCAAATGTAGCTTCTATTGCTGGACAAAGAGCTACTACTGTTGTAGCAGATGCCTGGATGGCATTGTTTAATGACCCAAGTGGTTTCAACAGTAGACTTATAAGAGAGAGAATGGCAATAGTCTTCTCTGAATGTAGTAGCAAAAGTAATCTACCAGCCTCACTACTTAGATCCGTCCCATCTTGGTAGATGCTTTCCAAAGCCAGTAATAATGTCTGGAGTAATTTTAAGACAACAGCCAAGGATCGCTCATGAGAAAGCCAGAGGGTTTTCCCAGGTTGGACTAATTTGAACTTCAGTCCCAGTGTATCTTCTATATTTTCCAAGATATTCAGTCTTTTTGAACTCTTGCTGAAAAAAGAATATAATGAAGACATTAAATGTATAGCTTTTTAAATATCTTTTGATGAGTCTTCAGCTCATACTAGCGCTAGTTGGAGTAGATGCCCTCTGCAGTGTGTATAGGAGAGACTAGGGTTACACTTTTGTCTGAGCAAAGTTTGTGCTCCACCATGTCTTCCAGAGAAGTTTGCAGCTCCATCAAATGCACAAGCATTCATCTGTTTGGGGTCCCATTGACAAGCATTTAACTCTTCTAAGATGTGGGTTGTCACAGATGCAGCCAATCTGTCTTCTATAACTTGAACATCTAGAAATGCATCTACTGGCCTACCACTGAAATCAAGATAATGTACACAATGACTTAATACTTGATGACCATTTGCATTGGTGCATTCATCAGCCATGTATGCAAATATTTTGACTGTGGTGAGAGAGTTCTTCACTTTTTCAGTTGTTGAGTCTTTCACTGTTGCACCACATGCATCTAGCCAGTCAGTTGAGTTTCTTGATGAAAGATAGTGAGCATTTGCTGGTCTTGTTCAAACCAGTGTTCAGCTTCAGGATGAACAAGTGACAATGCACTTCACATTGGCCTCCAGTTTGTAGTGTGTGGTATCTCTTGCTTAAATAGAAATTATGATGCCAAGGCCATGTTTGTTTACGTGAATTGTGTTGTGTCTCCAACATTCTTAACAACCTTATTAACACTCACCAGTGTTGTCCTTGGGCAGTGGGGACTCAGAGTTCAGAGGTGCTTTCACATGATTTCATTTCTCAGGTGGGTGGCAAGAAGGTACCTTGCTCGTTTCTCCAGCTGCTCACTGTTTGCTCTGGCCACTGTTGTTCGTTGTGCTACTGTTCACTCCATCGCTCTGTTGCCAATGGCCCTGTGCCGTCACCTTCTGCTGCCACCTGCCACTGTGACCTCTGCGAGTTGGTCTCTTGAGGTTCCACCCAGCTCTCAGTGATTTTAGCTGAGGTCTCAGTGGGGGAACCTCGCTGCTAGTGCAGACTGGGCCATCTCTTCCATAGAAACACTGTCCCACAGCAGGTCTAAGCACTCAGACCTGATTATTAGTGATTTCAGCTGTAGTGATCACTTAACAAAACAAAGACTATCTATGGAGCCAAATCAGCTCTGTCTTTAAACAGTGGAGAAGGGCAGGTCTAATAGTACTTGTGACTCAGGCAGACCATCAAGCAAAATACCTGTCCTCTCTCTCTCTCTCTCTCTCGATGCCCTCAATCAGCACAGGCTAAGTACAGTTCTACTGTCCTTTACTCATACAATAAGAATAACAACATTTCATAACACCTTCCCACCTCTGCATTCAGGTGATTTGTAACCCAACCCCAGCCAAAATCTATCACTTGGGCAACACTCTGTTTTCTGGATACCTAGGTAGATTAGGTGTGAATGTAAATACAATCTGGTCCTGAAGCCTTTCCCTCCAGCCCCCAGCTCATCACTGGCTGTCAGGGAGAGCTCATTTAGATTTTGCTTATAAATCATAATTTGAAATTATTAGGTTGGCCAACATCACCGAAATGAATGCACTGACACTGTCATAAAAACCAACATCTGTATAGGGAAGCTAGCCTATGTTCATACTTTTCAAATCTATTATATTTTTTCAGATACATGTATTTTATCATACACTGTATATACTTTTAAAGTGTGTATTAATGTTTCAATTTCAATTCAAATTTCCGAACAATCTCTAAATTGGCAACACTGCATGTAACTAGTTCACAAAACTGGGGGGGAGACACACCCCTTGGGGGGGGGGTAGGGAAATCCCTGGCACTGTCTGTGACTCCCTGGTAAGATTATTATGGTGCTTTAGGAGTTCACATTTGTTACTGGATTGATGAAGTCTAACTGTAGAACACACAACCAGTTTGGGTCTCTGCCCTGCTTTTTGGCAGTCTGCCCTGAGGTTGGCACTCACTGTCATGAACCATTCTAGACACCTGGAGACCTCCAGATGAGCTAAAATGTTTATATGGTGGCATAAATTTCTTTAGATTATAAACCTTAAATAGTTACAGCTGATATAAGTTATGAACTAGATATCTTATAAAGAGCTTCCTCACTGGAGGTGTGCTCTCTCCTTCAGTTTCTGCTTGAAAAATCTGAATTACTTTGAAAAACCCAAATTATTTGCTCTTGCTCTGGAAAGCTCTAGCACTACACATTTGAAAATCTTTGCATACGTAAGTTTGTACAAAGTAGAGCTAGCTGAAAAACAGGCAGCTCTAGTACATAACAAAATGTGTTTTTCATTTTGTGCCACTTTACTAGTCCCACATTTTGGTATCCCTTATTTCTTTATATGAGAAGAATCAACTAACTTTGGCATTAAGCTTAGACATAAGATTTGAATAAGGCAAACATTTTATAATCCTTTGAATGACTGAAAATGGCATGAGAGTGACAAGGTGGGTGAGGTAATATTGTTCATTGGACCAACTTCTGTTGGTGAGAGAGACAAAAGTGTTGAGATACACAGAGTTGTTCTTCCGGTCTGGGAAAGGTAGCCACAGCGTCACAGCTAAATACAACAAGTGGCTGTGGAACAGATTGTTTAGCATCAGTAGTTAGCACATATTCTAGCACAGTATTTAGCACAGAGACTTGCAAGTGAAGTGACCTGATAACACTTCTGCAGTCTAACAAAAAGGGGGGTTTAGCGGGTTACAGATTGTTTTAATACACCATAAATCCAGTGGTTTTTTTACAACCATGATTGTTCGTGTCTAGCAATGTTATGAATGTTAAGCTCCCAGGCTCACCTTTTAACCATATTATGCAGGTTTTTCTTGAGGACGGAGATTCAGATATGGAATGATCGTTTTGTGAAAAGTGTTTGCCCACAAGCGACATGGTGCTTTTGTCTTTTATAATTTTTCTGTGGGAGTTCATTTGAGAGCAACAACACTGCAAACATGACAATGACATTCACATTCCTGAAAAACTTTCTCTGAGCCCTGTCTCTGTTGTATGTCAGCAAGGGCTTGGTCGCATTCAGGGGAGTGCTGACTGGTGGAAATTTTTCCTTCAAAACTGTTTTCTGATGGAAAACTGGAGTTTCAACTAAATGATACGTTTGGGAAAAGTGCTGCAGAAAACGTTGGTATTTAATCAAAATGCCAAACCTGTGAAAACTGCGTGTGTGTGTGGGGGGGGCTGCCACAATGTTTTGACTGTTGATGCTTTGCCAAGAAGCTGACAGTCTGAAAAAGGGGTTTGGAAATGTAAAAGATTGAGTTGTGGTCAAGTGTCCACAGGAACCTCCTCCTCCCACCCCCTTTTGGGCTAGCTCTAGGTCTGCCTTATTGGGGAATCCAGGAAGTGGGCGGGCGGAAGACACCCTCCCTCTAACACACCCATCCGAATCCCTCCTTTTCGCCCTCGCCCCTCCCTGGCCTTTCCTCCCCACCTCGGCCACTCCAGGTAAGAGCCCCAGTGGCCACGCCTTTGTCGGGTTGAGATCGGGGAGCTGCGCGTCCCCCCCGCCGGCAGGGGGCGCTGCAGGCAGCCACCGCACTCGGCGCAGCCGTCCCAGGCCCCCGCCTCGGGCCCGCTCTCCTTGTCTGATCCCGCAACGCCTAGGTGTCGCGCAGGTTCCGCCTAAGCTCGTTATTCAGCCGCCCCAGGCCCCGCTCCGCTCCTGGCCTCCTCGGCGCCGCTCCCCCGTTGCGCGCGGGCCTGGTCCCGGTCCCGGTCCCGACCCCGACCCCTCCCCCCGAGGCCGAGGGGGGCCCGCCGCCGCCGCCTTCCCTCAACCCCCGGGCCCCTGCGTGCCGCCGCCGCCGCCCGGTGTGTGCGGGGCCCGGCTCCTGCCGGCTTCTCCCCTCCCAGGCGGGGCGATGGCCGCGAGCGCCAAGCGGAAGCAGGAGGAGAAGCACCTGAAGCTGCTGCGGGAGATGAGCAGCCTCCCGCCCAACCGCAAGTGCTTCGACTGCGACCAGCGCGGCCCCACCTACACCGACATGACTGTGGGCAGCTTCGTGTGCACCTCCTGCTCCGGCATCCTGTGAGTGCGGGCCGGGCCGGGCCGGGGCCGGGAGAGGGGGGTCCCGGCTGGCTCTCGCCTGGGGCGTTTGCCTCGGGTGGGTGATTCTCTTGCGAGGGCAAGTTCCCTTCCTTCTCCTCCTCCGTTGGCGGGGGGTGGGCGGCGGTGCGAAGGCCGGTAACCGTTGGTGATCTCGCAAGGCTGTTTGAACGTATCCAGCAACGGCGCTTAGTTTGCCCTGGGGGATTGAACCGGAGAACGGCCTGATTTCACTTCTCTGGGCTGGGTTTTACTACCCTGCTGATCCTTTAATTTTAATTAGTCTTCTGAGTTCGCTTAACACTGTGGTGTACCGGGAGTCATTATTTTAGCACTTGGAAAATGATTATACGAGACTAATAACGTGGGTTAGGGGAGTTAGGGGCCTGATCTTGCAAGCATGTATTCATATGAATAGTTGTGTGACCCTATTTAGTCCAAGCTCTTGCAAGATTGAGTCTCAAATCACTTACATTTTAAAAACTAAAAATATAGAAATTGTATTTTTAAGCAACACTAGGGGGATGTTTGGAAGGGAGGGAAGCAAACTACTCATTTTCATGACTATTTTTCTCAAAATAATGGAAGGATTAATTCTAAAATAAATACTGACAAAGTACCTGTTGCTAGTAAGGTAAATCATTGTTTTTGATACATATTTTAGTTCATAAAATTGTGATGCATGAAGGGTCATGATGAGGTAGGACAGAATTTGTGGAATTCCAGGCTGTCAAACAGTTTGCTTCTATAAATGAGTTGGTTTTCTTCGACTGGATTAAAGTTTAAACTGTGGAAAGTACAGGAGATAGTTTGGTAGAATTTTCATGTGATAATGGTAACTTTATCTTTAAGCTGTCCAAAGTTACTGGAAATGAAACTCTGTTGAAATTTCAAGAATGTTTTCCGGTTGCTGTACCGAAATACAGAATTGATTCATTATGAATTGCTGTGCTTACACGTGTGCTGTACAAATAATGGACCCAACAGCCTTCCATATCTTCCTTTGCCTCACCCCCATCCCCCACCAGAAAGAAGTGAATGAAATCAGAAGCATTGAAGAGCAGTTGGTTTTAAAGGGTATCTTGTAAACTCATCTGTGTAACTTTAGTCATATTGGCTTCAGTGAGATGGATAAAGCTTTGCATGTGCAGATGTTTACTGCTTTGAGTTTTAAAGGAAGGAAGCAATTTGACAGTGTTTAGGCAGTAAATATTATTTCATTAGATGACTTGGGTTTGTATATTGAATTCAGAAATCCAAATAACCTAGCTCTTTATATTGAATGGGAATGAAAAAGTGTGTGTGTGTGGGGGGAGATAGCAATTGCAAACTAAGTGTCTTGGTATAACACTGGTAGCTTTAAAAAAAGCAAACAAGTTAGTTCCATGCTGCATTTCCTTTGAATAAGCTTTTTATACCACTAGACTCCTAATTAATCTTGCTTTTCCTTTTCTTTTCATTGTGTTTTGCTCAGATGTCTCTTCACATGTGTATACTTGTGTGAAGGCCATTCAAAATTGAAAAGTGAGCTCAGATTGTGGAAATGTGAATGGGCTTTAGAGTTGGATGTATACTTGGTTCCTAAAGCAGCCAATGCAAAGTAATAAATTATCTGTGCTTATCTTAAAATAGTTTTGAATATGCTGTACATAAGCTTAATGACTGGATACGTTCCTTCTGCTTAAACTGATAGCACATTTAAATTACTCATAACAGTACTATTTTTAATTGGCAGGCTGGCTATTTTAAATAAACATGAGCACATGTGATATACAAAAAGTGACTTCAGTTGGGATGCAAGTGACTTGGATCCCTTCTAGCTCACCAGTTAGCGCTTCTGTTTATGGACCACTGAGGTCTATAGTCCAGTCTACAATAAGAGGAAGGATTCACCCACAGCAAGTCAAACTGCAGGATGTGGGCTGCTAATTGTCTAGCCACCACTGGTAGACGCTACACATACATATAAATACCTGAAGAGACAAAGATATCCTTTGAGGGAGAGCTTCTTAGTCTTTTGATATAATTTGTTAATCTTCTAATAAAGTAAAAATAAAGTCATTTCCCAGCGTTTCTAAATATGCAATGTGTGTTTAAAATCCTAAGGAAGTGGCTACTATTTTTACAAATAGAGTAAATAGCAATTAAAAGGTCTTTAAAAATTGTAATATTTTGTTTGAAATAAACTTAGTCTCAGACTTTCATTTTGGATTATAATTTCTTCATATATCGTGTATTCTGAATCAAGAAAAAGCCATAATAGTTATGTAAGAACCTGTCCATATCCAATTTTTGCTTTCTTTGCAGAGTGAGTTAATATACTTAATGCTGATACAAGTAACACTTGTCTAATAGCTAGGACTGTTGCTGGTGTTTCTCTAAGGGCACATCTTCACTGGCAATGTTAAAGCACTGCCGCGGCAGCACTTTAACGTGGCTATGTAGTCGCGACTCTATAAAACTCACCTTCTCGAGGGGCATAGCTACCAGTGCTGGGAGCACGGCTTCCAGCACTGGTGCACTGTCTACACTGGCACTTTACAGCACTGACACTTGCAGCGCACAGGGGTGGTTTTTTTCCCCCCACACCGCTGAGCGAGACAGTTGGAGCACTGTAAATTGCCAGTGTAGACAAGCCCTTAGTCTTGCTGTCTCATTGTCTTTCAGAAGTTTCACTCAGTATTCATGTCAAAATGGAACTATAATTCAAACCAACTTGTTTCTTACTACAAACATAATTTTTAATGTGGAATTCAACAGTGATGAGAGAGAGAACTTAGTAGTAGAGCAAGATTTTAAACTGTTAGCTTCTGCATATGGTCTCATTCAAAATTACCCTAAAATTACTGTAGTTCATATAGTTTTGACACCTACTGCAGTGGTTGTGGTTTGGAATTATTTACTGTAGAGCTTTATTCATGCAATTTATCACATCATCTGTTTCATACTCTACAGTAACAGATACAGTTTTTCCTATGTTCCAATTTTAATTTTTGTTTGAAACTATTGTTTCAAAATGTACTTCCTTTGTAGTATAGTGAGACAGTTATTTCAAATCTAAAATGCATTGTGCAATGATGGAACATCAGGTTCTTATTCTGCAGATTAAAGTGGCACTTAATTTTGGTTCAGATATTATTTTGGAAGAGGGAAATTATGTAAATAGTGGAAAAATTTATACTTAAGGTTGTTTCAGATATTATTATTGTCAGCATTAAACTTTTAAAGCTGGTATTCAGTTACCTTCAGAAGATTTTTCCAGAATTTGTCTGATGAAGTCTAACTGTATAGATCATACTTTATTTTGACTAAGACTGATAAATATATAGCATTGCTCCTCTCCAACAACCTCCTGTCAGCTTTTGTAATTAAGGTGTGGGAGAAAAGAAACTTGCAGTGCAAACTAGGTTTAATTCAAATAGGTGATCTTTATTGCTGTCCACTTCCAACTCTCTCCAAAATAGTCTTATTAGCTTGCTCAGTGTCACAGAAGATGTGTCCATGGTGAAAAAACAAGTATGTCTTTGTTGTGAAAACATTGGTCTTGACTTGATAGTTAAAGTTGTATTTTGTACTTAAATCAGGAATTAAAACTATGTTTGAGGTTTGATAACCTCTGGGTAAGGCATTAGGGAAACACTTCCTAACTGTAACGGCATTTAAACACAAACCAATTATCTAGGTCTGTTATCAGTGGTTCTCAATCTGTGGTCCGTGGACCACCTGTGGTCCACGAGCTCCATTCAGGTGGTCCGCGGATAGTTCACTCTAAGGTGTGTGCCTGGGCAGCCGCACACAAGAGAAGGAAGGGCCTAATTAGTGGAGGTGCACAAGGATGGGTCCGCTAATTTGGTGCTTGGATCCTGGAGAAGATGCACAGGTAAGGTGAGGTGGTGGCCTGGTGTGGGGGAAATAGCGGGTAGACGGGAGGGGGCAGTGGAGTGAGAAGATGGGGTGAAGGGAATTTGGGACGTGCAGGGTTGCGGTGGCCAGAGAAAGAGACGACTTTTCCCAGTTCCAGGGCTGCGGCTGCTGGGGAGAGGCCCCCCCCCCTTTCTTCCTAGCCTCAGCTCAGGGGCTGCCGCGTTGGGGGGGGAGAGGGCACATCCACTGCATTAGAAAGGTAAGACTACTGATATTAAAATATGAATTGTGTGCTTTTATTTGTAGAACAAAAAAAGTTAATTACCGTTTTTTTATATAGCGCTTTTAACCAAGTGCTTTACAATAGTTAGCTAACGGTACAGATAACATTTGGAAAGATCATTGAGTGGTCCACCGAGACCCTCAGCAATTTTCAAGTGGTCTGGGGGGTGGGGGGGAGTTTGAGAACCACTGATCTAGAGAGGTTATGAAATCTCCATTATTGCAGGTTTAGACGTGTTAGACAAACGCCTGTCAGTGATGGTCTAGGTAATACTTAGTCCTACCTCACTGCAGTGGACTAATGACCTATTGAGTTCCCTTCTAGTTCTAAGTTTTTTTTGTTTTTTTTTTTAATTCTAATTGGGATTCATGCTCAGTTGAACCAAGGAAACCCCTCGTCTCGCATTCATTTATAAGATGAATTTATCTCTCAGATGAAATCTAAATATAATTGTCTATAATTTTCAGAAATTCAGAAGGATGTTTTAGTATCGACAATATGAGACTTTACTTTCTATATATTATAGATACAACAGTTGTGTGGTTCTATAGTCTGATTTAGTGGTCTGTAACAGACTCCTACTAAACTTAAACACTTGTTAGATTTAAGTTTGTCTTAATATGTGGAAACTGGTGGATTCCATAGGTTAATAGAATTTGAAGTCGTACAGTTAGCTTTAGCTCTGCTTTTGGCCCTCTCTTTGTTGCAAACGTACAGCTATGGAACTGCAATACGTTACATCGGAACTGGCTCACTTGTGTCTCTTCTGGATGATAGTGACACATGACTGAACCCTTTCTACTCACTGGCTTTTTCACTGCTCTTTTGTAGCATC